GTGTGTGTGTGTGTGTGCGCTGACTGGATTCACACTGTGGTAACCAACATTAGACATGGAGCCTGAAATAGAACAAGAACACATCAGGGAGTTTGTTAGCAGCACTTGTTGTTTCCCACAATGCATTTGACATTTTCCCTGAATCGAAGCGATTCGTTGACTTTCTCTCTGTTCACTGTTGAAATGTCGGTGTGTGTCTTCTTCTCGTTCTGAGCGTTTCATAAAGCTCTTGAGTGTGTTTTGCTCTAAAGCATCCTCTGTAATAATTCTAATGCACATGTAGCTGCGGTCACATATTTATAGTGAAGAACATTTGTACCTGGTGATGTTGCTGTTTTGTATTGGTTCTGTTTCACTTTAATAAACCCTAAAAAGGTTTTATTACGGTTTGCTCCTGAATTTTTTTGTCTTTTCAGGTAGTCTGGGTGTTATCCACATGGGTCAAATTGTGGCTACAAAATTGGAACTTTTTGGTTTGACTGATGGAGCTTTTCTTTATTTTCTTTGTGAAACTGTGCTTCATTTTCTGGATCACAGTGCTGCCACCAGCTCTGACTCTTTGTTTGACTGAGAAAGGCCATAAATGTGAAACTAATTCTCTAGAAACTTTCAACCGAAGCTCCTCTGAGCCAGCAATGCTCCGAAAGTGAAATATTCCACATCATTTGCAGCAACAGATGCATCAGTGTGAAGTATTCTGAATGTGAGGGAAGTTGTTTTACCTCACACAGGTTTTTCAACTGATGGAAACTCTTTTTTTTTTATTACTTACAGAAAACAAAGTGACTGCATTGATTACATGTATTTCCACAGCTTTGACTGATACATTTCAGGCAGCGGTGGACAGTAACTAAGCAGGGGCAGATCTGGAATATTCACTGGGTGATAAGAGAGACTTTAAGGGGCGGTGGAAAAGTTTATATGCTGATTTAATCGGGAACAGTCACATATATCAATATTTGNNNAAGATATATGAACTCAAACACATTATTGTGGCACAAAGCACTGAATAGGAATATTTAAAGGTGGCATTAGAAGGCAATAAACTGTTTCATTTCCAAATGAAATGAAATGAAATCCTTTAGATATTTTTCTAAATACACATATTTTTTCATTGAACTGGAATCTAAATTGTGTCCATAACGAATCATTAAATTAATTACAGTTTTTTTTACATGTTATTTTTTAGAATTAATCTAAATTAATGGGTTCAATTTGACACCAAGCTGGGGTGGCCAGGCATTGTTTTGGACCCAACCCGGTAAATCCGCCCCTGTAACTAAGTACATTTACTCCAGTACCTAAGACACTTAAACTTTAAGATATGATAATGCTTCTTTGATGAAGTATTTCTATTTTATGCCACTTAGTACATTGGTTCCACTTCATTTGGATAGCCTACAGATTGTTTATTTCAGAATCAGAATCAGAATTAAGTTTATTGCCAAGTAAGTTTTTACACCTACGGGGAATGTGTCCTGGTGCATTGGTGCATAAAATCTACAAATATACAAATCACACAAAAATCACACAGAAAAATAAAGTACTTTGAGATTATTAGTTGAGATTCAACAATTCCACTGTTTCACAAATAAAACCATTTTCTGATATTACAGCAGTGGTTAAGGATTGGTTGGGGTTTGTTCATCAATTGTCACATATACTCATATACATATACTATAGAAAGTCTGTTAAACATCTACAGGCAAAGCAAATGTTACAGTCTGTAAATCTGTGGGCGGACTATCCAAATAAAGTGCCACCAATACTACTTCTGTTCTACTACAGTTCATTAGAAAATATTAGAATTATTACTCCACTACATTTATCTGACTAATACAGCTGGCAGTTAAGATTTTAAACAGAAAATATACGATGATCTTATAAAATACGATGAAGTAAAATGCTATTTACTTATGAATAGTAATAATGATCCATTAATAACACGCATTATTCTGAAATGACTTCTACCGAAGTAATATTTTTAATGCAGAGTGTATTTGTAGGCTGATATCTTTTACTTAAGTAACAGATCAGAGTACTTTCCTTGACGCTGGTTTCAGGAAATACATTTCTACACAATTCTCTCCTCTGTGCTGGTCTGTGGCCTTTTATTAACACATTTCATGAGCATATAAATGAAGATGATAAATGAGATGATACATCCATCAAACTGAAAACAGGATTTTTCTGCAGGCTCTCCCTAATGACTTTGTGAGTCAAGTGAGGCTGCTTCTCTCTCCGTCACTGTGAGCACATCCTGTTTCCGTCAGCACAGGAAGTGTAGCCTCCGTGCAATCAGGTATTTGACTTTGTACTCTGATTGAAAGTGAGGTGTTGTTAACGTTCAAACTCCTCCACTGAATTAAAATGGTTTGAAACGTGGCCCACCTGAGCCTCGAAGTTCAGCCTGAATTCTTCAAGCAGAATTTGAAAACCTTTTTTTTTGTTTTAGTCTGCATTAACCAATTTGTTACAAGAAATTTTCGACAACTTTTATTTACATTTCTCTACAGCTATTTTTGTAAACTGAAGTTCTAAATTTTAAACCCAATTGTTGTGAATTAGAACCATTTAGGCATCAAATCCTGCATGTGTAGCAACAGAGCCAGAGATGTGGATTTAGAGCAGTCTGGTTTGGTTTCTGAGGCTGCAGTGATGATCGACCTGGGCCTGTGGAGCAAAATCTTTGGGAGTAACAAAATCAGTTTGACTATTTGGACGAAAGAGTGTAGAAGACCAGCGTCAGTTCACGTTCATTAAATACAACCTAACTCCAGTCAATGCAAACTTCAACGTCTATGAAATGTGAAGGCCTCATTTTATTAACATGGATACTAATTTTAAAAGCATTAAAGTTCATTCTTGACCTTGAAACTGTAGTGTGACAAAAAACTATTCCAGCTCATGATTTTACTGTCTTATCTCTCTGAACACCCGGGTTAAATCACTCTTGTTTGTTCCTTTAACATTAACGGTTCACTAACAGCCATTCAACACTTGTCACCTCTGGATGATTGCAACAGAGCAAAAATAAATAAATCATGCTTATTCATTTTGGAGAAATTGCAGTGATACCTGAATAAACACCTCTCCCCTTCAGCCAGGACTGTCCAGGTTCTGAGGGATGTGGTCTCACTGCTCGGCTCCCTGCAGAGAACTCACAGAAAAAGGTCAGTCCCCCTCTCCTTGATGATAAACCTTTTCACATTCAAATATATATCATGTAGAATATTACAGTCAAAAATGTGTTTTGCTTATTGTTTCTTCTCTTTGATGTTTAAGCGTCACTGTGCAGAATATTGTATGTGCAGTTTGTTTTTAACATTCAGCTGAAGAAGTTTCTCTCTGCTCGTCTTAAATCTCTACATGGACGTACCGGCAGGACTTTATGACATCACAACTAGTTTGAAGCCAATCCTGGTTCTGTACACTACTAACACAAATGTGGAAAAACCTGAAACCTCCAGTGCACAAACTTGAGAATTGACTTTTCAGTGGAGGAGGAGACATTTTGAATCCAGCAGTTAAACCTCTGAAATTAACAACATTAGCATTTTCATAGATTATGGATTTTTCTGTTAGGGAAAAAGAGCGGATTTTAATCATTTTTAATCCGACACTTGAACCTTTTTGTGGAAAAACAATATCAGAAACAAATATTTATTATTCAAAACCCATAACATTTATGGAAAAACGGCTTTGAATACAGCTGATTAGCTTATGACATTTCCAAAAGGTGAGCATGGAAAAAGTCAGACTGTGGGAGTTGATGCTGCTCCTGTGGCCCACACATTCCCCTTTCGTTCATAGTTTCCCTCTCTACCACCTTTTGGATGTGTAATAAATTGATCCTGTTTTCTGTGTGTTCTCCAGGGACTGCTGTGCCTGTTTCTTATCACCCCGGTTGTTCAACTGTGTTTTGGTTGCATATACTGTATGTTAATTGAATGATTCTCACAAATTGAATGGCTGACTTTCTAATTTGACTCTAAGTAAAACCAATTGAGGAAGAGGCAATGAGGCCTTGTGCAGAGCTCGATTAATCATCATATAAATACGTTTAGTAGATTTATTTATTTGTTTTTGTATTATTAAAAATGTTCAACTTTGAGCATAAAGCTTGGGGCTTATTTAAATGTTAGTATAAAGTTTTTTTTAAACATCTCTAATTCAATGCACTTTAATGTTTCAAATCATTGCTGAGGTTAATAATTAATAATGAATTGATATTCCTTATGACTCAGATTATCCTTTAAGTGTTATACTTTCAATAATAATTGAGTAGTACATTTTAAGTCTGTTTTATTTATACAGTCTCAAAGGGCTTTGTAGTTTTTATACATAGCCAACACATAACAAAGGAGAACACTGGAAACGCGCAGTTTTGACCAAAGAAAAAAAAAATCGTAACTCAAAGGTCCACTTACTTACTTTATCATGGCCATATGGTTGAACAAATAGCAGAAAAACCTATGTAAGTAGAAATTGAGTTCAGATTGAGTTAATTTTTGACCTCAGAAACAGACACACAATCTTACCTCAAGAACTATTTAGCAAGCCTTCTGGATCTTTCAATCATATCAAATTGTCTCCTTCACCAGATGGCCATTGTCACTGAAATGTATGAATGTTCATTCCTGAAGAATCTTAATCTGTTCTTTAAAGCCATTGTTATGAACGAGGTTGATTTAAACCCTCTATTTGTAGCTGTAAAGAAGAAGAGAACTTATCAGAAGTAGATTTCGCGGGGTGTTGGCAGGTGGCGAGAGCACATGTGCAACGAAGCTCACACACTTTCACTCTCCACTGATTTCTGTTCACATCTGGCCAGCTTTCACTTCAAGGACGTCACCTGCAACGACTGTTTCTCTGCTTTTCTAATAACACTTATTGCACGCACAACAAATCATCAATGCAGTAAATACTGTTGCACTCATTTCTACAATTACATTTTCAGCTCGGACTCTTCTTCAGACAGTTAGTTGACCAGCATGTCACACAGCAATGCATGTCAAACTGACGTCACACTATGGAGGAAGGCCAGGGGGAAGAAATAATAGGGAGAAAAGGTAAAATGGACAGGAATGACATGCAGGCACTAACAATGTGTGTCTGCTCGCTGATGACGGATCTCATTAGTTCAGCAGCAGACATCCTGTTTCTGTCCTTGTTGCAGCAAATATGCATGGCAGGCATTTGAATACATGCAATGGACACATTTGAGCTGCAGACAGGATGAGTTTTAACATCTGACATTGAGAAGGGGATCTGAGGAGAAAAAATAGGGAGTTTATTAAGAGGAAGAAATGGTTGCTATGGGAAGCAAATAATGTCTATGTAAAAATGAAAGTATTACCTGTAAATAATCAGCTTGATTCACGTTACACCATCAAATAATACAGCCGTAGATTATAAACATAGGGTTTACACACATTTTTAAGTAAGCTCTTCATATTAAATAACAAAGATGGCAGCATATAAGCAGATCTGTGCAGTCTGGGTACTACAAAGTACGTTTGGTTGTCTGTATCATGTATAGAAAATGGAAATCTATCGTCAAATGCTCTTTTTCACTTATGGAAAAAACGATGCCTGGATCTCATTATTTGGTTTTGAACAAAGTGACTTTCTCCTGCCTCTGCAGCCTCATCATTACAGCACAGGCCGTCTAATGAGGACTCTTCCTCTCCGTCTTGTTTGTTTCTTGCAGGAAGCCATTGAAGTTACACGAGATGTTGTCTACCTGCAGGCTCTGGAAGAGGAACGCTGTGTTGAGGAGGAATGCCACAGAGAGGGAAAATCTGAATTGAGTTTGTCATGTAGTTAAAGCATGAAGGTACTCTGCAGATGTAAAGGCCCTTTGAGCCTCTCAAGACAGCCATTGTGCAATTTATAAATGACAGTCAAGGCGCATTTTGGTTCTTTTCATTGTGAATTAAAAACTTTAATCATGCAATCATGCCTTACATTTCCCCCTTAAAGAGCTCCTGGCAGGCAGTGACTTTTCAGTCTGGCCTCAGTCGACACTTTGACTTGGAAATCCTTCATTGAGAATCAGCTGGTCATAAGATCCTCTTACGTAAAAAAGCCTCATCACCATAAACAGGGTTTCTATTGAAAATAATGACACATTTTTGCTTCTACTATTCCTTCTCCTTACACTAGATACCATCAAGTAAAACTATTTCTCCAACAGGCTGCTGTGATCATGTCAGAGACCTTAAAAGACCAGTATGTAGGATTTAGTGTGATCTGAAGGTATACTCCCTCGCTTTACCCTCCTCTTCCAAGTGCGAATGAGACACTATGGTGGCCGTGATACGCACAAAAAACACCAACACCCTTATGTAGCACTGGCCTACTGTAGAAACATGGCGATTCAACATGGCAGTCCCCACAGAAGGTGATGTGCAGCACCTGTAGATAAAACTGCTCATTCTACAGGTGGCCTATTGACCTTTTAAAATGAAAGGATATCAGTCCCTTCAGGAAGTTACGATCGCAACAATTTACCCAAAGTTAACCAATCCCCGTGAGTTCTGTGGGCCCTGGCCTCAAAACATTGCAACATGTATTGCAATTTGCTGTGAAATCTGGCATTTTAGGCTGCAACAATTCCCCCAAACCTGTGAAATCCTGGAGGGAATGGGAAATGGCTGTTACTCTTTTTATGTCATCAAAACTTATGAAAAGACCAAGACTAACAATGTTAGTCTGTCTCCAGTGGTGTGCTCAGATCATTTACATAAGTAAAAGCACTAGTACCACACTGTGTAAATATTCTGTTTAAGTCCTGCATTCAAAACATAAACTCAGTAAAAGTATATAGGCAAAGTATCATCAGAAGAATTTACTTCAAGCACCAATCTTTAAGATTTTCCTTTAAATAAATGTCTCTTAAGTCACTGTCTATTGCTGAATGAGGTGACACAATGGTGACTGGAAAAAATGAACTGATGAAAATATTGCAATATTTATATAACTGCAGTATTACCAACTGGGTAGCTGTGGATTGTGCATTGCACTGCTGTAGCTGTTTGTGGTTGAGCTTGTTTAACTACTTTACAAACTGTTGGGTAGTTGAATCTACAGCAATGAGTCATATTCTTTAAGATCCTCATACGTTTGTAACGTCGCTGTTCTGTGAGAACCATGGATCTCTAAAAATCCTTTTTTCATGAGCTCAGAAAAACAGCCTTGTTTTCAGCTTGGTGACAGTGCATTTCCCAGCTAATCCAAGAGGGTTTTAAATTGTTTATTCAGCTTAAGAAGCAGGAGAGCTGTCAGACCAATGTAGTGGAGTAAAAAGCACAACACTTGTCTCTGAGATGTAGTGGAGTAGAAGTATAAAGTAGCATAAAATTGATATACTCGAGTAAACAAGTACAGCACTTATGTAAATGCACTTAATTACATCCCACTGCTGTCTCTCTCTCACTACTTTCTAACTTCCTCTTGTTGTGGCTCTTAACTCCAAGCTGACAACCACAGCCAGGGTTATTCAGAGGTTACAAGTGTTGAGAGCTTTAATCACGTACATTTTTAAAAACCTCACAAAACAAAACAAAAAGAAAAAGGTCAGTGGTTTCCTAAAACAGGTGCTCGTTGTAGTTTTTAATCAAACAGATTGTATATAGTATACATTCTGTGTTGGTTTTGGTCTTTTCAGGGGATTTGATGACAATAGGAAAATTATAAAATATCACCACTTAAAAGCTTTTAAGCTCACGCTACATTTCCCTGATGGCTCTGTGCAAAATGAACATGTGATATAATTACGTTATGGAGGATGCAGTCAGGATGGGATATATAGCTAAAATATTTCTAGGTGTGTTTCCCCCGGCTTGTTTGGCAGGTAAGTGTCTCCTATTTCACTGTTTATTGTCTCTTTCACAAAAAAAAGCTGTGCATGATCTCTGCATTCAAATCTAAGAAAATAAAAGTAATAGTATCGTGTGTGTAAACTACTTTTTGAGTGCAGTTTTTGTGTTGAAGCAGTTCTGTTGGTTTGCAGCGAGTTTAGGCCATGTAGTCATAGAAAAGCAGTATTACCTCATCACACAACACTCTAAAGATACAGAGCCATTGCTAAGTAGCTACTATAATATTACATGCAACACAGTGATCTAAGGAGGAGGACAAAAGATGAACATTAACCCATTTGCATTTCCAGAGGCAGTTTGTCTCCTCCTCCTGCATTCCCGCCCAATTCACCCTGTTTCTCAACAGCCTTTGACCTATCCACCCCTCCCCCAAAACACACACACACACAAGAAGGCAGTTGACAGGGTCTTATGATGCCATTGATTGCCATGTTTAGGAAGTGCATGAGTAAGAAAAAGTCATTTCCTGATTTGTCATCCTCCAAGAGTGATTTTGTACTGTACTAGAGTATTCACTCTATACCTCTACTTATTTGTTAATTTACTGATTAAGATAAAGACAAATATGATGCACTGTTATAGATTAAACTAGCACAGTATATAAAAGAGTTCAGAGGTGTGGATTTGCAGTGAGCAGTGGATTCATTGATCAGTTGTACAAAACATTAATCAGCAGTTATTTTTCAAGCAAAAATGTCAAACATTCAACGGTTCAAGCTTCTTAAATGTGAGCGTTTGCCATTTTCATTGTCTTACGTTATATTGAGTGAGTTGAATATATTTGGGTTTTAAAGTTGGGCAAAGCAAGACATTTTGAGACATCACCTTGGGCTCACCTTGGGAAATAGTAATGGCCATGTTTCACTGCTTCCTGAAGTGTAATAGAATAAAGGGACTAGTTGGCAGATTAATCAATTGACAATAATCTGTATCTGCCGCCAAAAATAAAGGATCTTCATTTTAACCAGCTACAATATTAAACGGCTACTTAGACAAACATTCATCAGTAATAATCCCATTAATATAACAGAAGAGTACAACACTTACAGGACCATTGTTCTGCATTACCACTACTGTTACTGTTAATACTTAATACTGGTAATAACATAATAATATCACATATTTGTGTGTCATTTTCAGTGCAGGACTTCTACTTGTAATAGAGTTTTTTTTTTTATATCTCAGCATGACAACTTTCATTTCTGAGATGAGAAATTATGAGGGAGGAGGGAAACTATGAAACTTTCATGAGGAAGAAACAACACTTTTTAGAGATCTGGTGCAAGGCAATGACGGGTATTTATTTCAGGCAACTGGTGAATGAATGTTCTTGGAATTTTTGCTGCATTTTTAATCAGTTTAATGATCAATAAAGACTTGTGAACATACTTACAATCATAGGGGACATGTATAAACTGTGGTAGAAACAAAGGATATTGTAGGAAAGAAAAAAAGAAGAAAATAAACTGAATCAAACCAATGTCATTACAATGTCAAACTTATGTTCAAGTAGAAATGTATAGTTTTCTCACACTGTAAAAGCTAAATTCCTATTTGTTTCCAATCTTAGTTCCAGTTTTTCACACTCCTTTTGCACCAACAATCTTCAAATATATGTTGCATCCTATGTGCTTATCTGACCCTTGGAAACACTAGCCTGTGACCTCAAGAGTTCCCATGTGACCAGTGTGTGTGTGTGTGTGTGTGTTCAGAGAAAGAAAGAGAGAAAAGGGGGTGGGTGGGAAGAGGGGTTCAAGCCATCTCAGGACAAGAGAGAGAGAGAGAGAAAAGCAAACTTCACTTGTATGTTCCAGAGCTGGGGTAGAAGAGCATGGGGTGGGGGAGTAACAGCCTCCTCCTCCTCTTCTTCTTCTTCATGCTGCACCTCCGGCTGTTTAATTAATATATTGCTGTGACTAAGTGGTGTCATGTTTATGGATTTGATATTGGATATGATAATTAGATTTATGTAACAATAAAATATGGTATGGTAAAATGTTTACTCAATGTTTTGATTTAGGCTACTACTCTGAAATAGGCTACATTCATACAGTTTCAGGACTAATATATGGCCTAATACACATATTGAATCATCACTAAATCCTCATGAAAAAATGCAGTGCTTAAACTAAGGGGAACTTTACTTGCACAAAACACCACAGGCTACTCGCTAAATAAATTGAGAGCATGACTTTTGTTGACTGTATTTCATCTAAAAGCACTGCCAAGCAAATATGGACACACCGGCGGATTCCTTCCCGTTTGCACATAAAAACACATCTATGCTTCTGAAATTAAATTCCCTCGCTTGTTAATGTCGCCCATGATGAGGCAACGGCAACCGTACCACCAGTTACAGGGTTTGGATCCATTTTGTGCACAGGAGCCATTTTCTAACCAAGCGAGCGCACTAGAGTGCCACGTTGCCTCCGGGCGTGTACAGTGGGGCTACAAAGTGTCTCACACACAGCAAACAACCTTTTACACGCCAAATTCCACACATGTCCAAATTTATACCAAAACAGGAAAACGTAGGCAAACACACTGGAGGCACAGAGCGCCAGTGTCAACCACAGCCACACTCTGTGTGTGTGTGTGTGTGTGTGGGGTGGGGGGGGGAGGCCTGTGCATCAGCCACTGCCTCCATTTTGAGAAGCCTCCATCCACGCAGAGGGGCGCGCGGCGCGTGTATAGCGCTGTAACCAGGCGACTGCGCCATACTGTCATTTCCTCTGAATTCCACTCGGAGACATATGATTAAAAAAAACGGGTGAAACAGAAGCTAACACGCCTGCTTGGGTGTGGCAAACGCTGCAGAAGTTGTATCCTAACTCTGGGTACCGCCTGTTGGAAGCCATGACCTTTCTGAACAAGTAAAACCACAACAATTACATAAACTGTCTAAAAAAACACGAGAGGTGGTGCAGTTACGGAGCTACGGAGCGCCCGCCTATAGCTACAACAGTCTGTACTCTGCTGCTGTTACATTGTATCGCCGCCATATCTGATACATTGTTTCAGTTAATGGGGCGGTGGGTGTAGGCCACAATGTATCAAAGTGAGTTTCCGCAGGTCCCAGTAGCAGTACCCTCGCGGCCCCTGAGGCTAAATGGGGCCCTGGACCTTTTGTTCCCCCGCTCCAAACAGCCTGGAGGTTCACCATAGGTCATTTATGTAACATCATGACGACTAACTTCTTCACCACGCATCATATTCATCCAGAGGGTGGGAACAGCGGAGGGGTGGGGGTGCTAGGCTATAGAATTAGCAGGCGGTGCCTTGTTATTTAAATGGGAACGTTTTTTCCCACCTAGGCCTTCAGCCACTCAAGACCGCGGGTGTGGGCAGAAGTGAGTTAGAGCAATAAAAACAGTTCGACCCTCCGCACATTGTTCTGTCTTAGCTTTTAGCTTACATTGTTGTGGAGGGAGTCTCTCCATATAGCCTAATCTTTGCCCCGCACGAGCAGAAGCGCATTAAGCGCATGTGTGGCCACGTCGCGTTGCATAAAAGCCCCGGCACGGCACACAAACGGCACTGTGCACAAATACAGTACAGATTGGCGCGAGCACAGTACGGAATTAGGGGTCTCTGCTTGTGTGCCCATGTACGCGCGGGCACGTACGTAGCCTACACACGCGCTCATCTGGTGAATACCCTAGGATGAGAGGGGGGTGCTCCCTCCCCTTCCTCATCTCTCTAACCTACTCCAAACAGACCACGTGGTTTCCTCTTTGCAAACAAAAAAAGAAAAAACGTGAATTGGAGTCGGTGGAGGGGCGGCGTCACCCCTCTGCCGGCAGCAGGCGGATCGCCGAGAGAGGGAAGGGTAGAAAACTAGAGAGAGAGAGAGAGGCGGAGAGAGAGAGGAAAACATTTTTCCCGATCTGATCCCGCCATAGTTTTTCCCACTCTTCCACCACAGACCCATCACCAAATCCACCCAGTAGCTACAACCCACGTCCTCCACAGTGCGATAGAGAGGCTATAGGCTGCTGCTTTATTCGTCTGCTGGGGCCGGCTGCAAGTCAAGGGATTTTATTTCTTCTCCTGCTCCACTTATTCAACTGGATTTACAGCTAAATTCTACGTTATCATCAGTTTTTACACTTTCAAAATCTTTTTTTTTATTTTAGTTTGCTGTCGTGAATTAACCTTTGTTTCGCTTTATTTTTATTTTTTTTAGATTATTCTTGCCCTCCAGTGTGATTTCCACTTTCAGTTAGTGTGGCAAGTGTGACAATATCTTGTTGCGCTATTAAGAAATTCAGGAGAGAAACTTTTTTTTCTGGCTTCAATTTGAGTTATTCCGGGCTTTGTTTTTTTTCCCCATTTTTGGACTTGGAAAAACAATTTCCACCATGCACAAGCTATACATTGGGAATCTAGGCGACAGCGTGACTGCCGAGGACTTAGGAAAAACCTTTGACGACCACAAGATCCCATACTCCGGACAGTTTCTAATGAAAACCGGCTATGCGTTTGTGGATTGTCCGGACGATCAATGGGCCATGAAGGCTATCGAGACGTTTTCGGGTGAGTTAAGGTGGACTACTGACCGCCAAAGACCCCCTTCCACCTTTAGTTTCATTCATTCTAAAGGGAAGCGCCGGTGTAGAGCAGCGGCGTGCATGCCCACCTTCGGCGGTGTACCCCAGTTTCACTCCCCGTCCACCTCGGAGGCTACTACACGAACATGCCGGATAAAAACACATTCACACAATTATTTTATTGACGCTAGCTTAATGGCGTGTGGGGAGCTATACGCCCCGGGGAGCCGTTCAACTTTTGCAGGGGGGAGGGACACACGTAGTATAAACGTAAAGCTATACCGTACAGCCTGAGCCGAACGTAAAGAACTACACTTCACAATATAGCCATTGAACAAGTTATCCACACAATCATGTGTAACCCAGGGATGAGTGCGGCTTGTGCCTTTTAAGCTAATATGTGTATGTGAGTGGCATTTCGATGTGTTGCACGCCTAGCATAGGACTGAACACTCTCCTGTGATATAGTATGAATCCTCGCTGGCTCCCCTCCCCCTTTAAGCCGGCAGTACACTATGGCAAAGATAGATAAAAATAAAAAAAACACATCTTACCCTGTGTACTCACCAAAACAGGCCTCACGCCACCACCAATCCAAAATTATCGACGAGCAGCATTACTACTATTGTCAAGGCTTGGTTCACGCCGTGGCGTCAGTGCTTTGTAGCCCATTTCTCATGATTTCCTACATATGTAGGCTAACGTGAGGAGGCAAGGTCGCCATGCCTGTCAGCTCCCTCTGCTTCTTCTACATGAGACCTCACCAAACTCCCAAACACAGCCCCCCCATACAGCATGTGCACCATTTAGGCTTTTAAGACACGCCAGCAGTCCCAGAGAGAAAAATAATATTCGTATGGTTGTCATGCTGCATCTCTGAGGGTTTAAGTAGCTCATTATGGGGGCAGAAGTGACGTGCCTACAGAATCCACTTGTTCCGTGACTTTTCGCCATGTTTTGGGCCTTCTGAAGCTGTCCGTCTCAAACCTAATTCCCAGCTTGCTTTGCTTCCCTTTTGCTTCTTTGACAATCTGCAGGTTTCCAAAAGTTAGCCACAAAGAGTCCACCAGTTTAGCTATGTACCCTGAATACACCACATTTCCCTCACAGGCCTGCTAGTAAACAGTTAGCATGTAGCCACAGTGTGTTGTGAATCCCCGGTTTTTATTATTTTTATTTGTTCCCAGGTAAAGTGGAACTCCAAGGGAAACGTATTGAGGTCGAGCACTCCGTCCCCAAGAAGCAAAGGTAGGCCTACTGAACAGTATTCAGCACTATATATCACCCCTCCCCCCTCCTCTCTAAAACCCCTTTCATGTGTTGCATCACCTTGTCCAGGCCTTTCTTTCATGGAGTTCTAACTCAACTCAACGATTTCACTGCTTCATTTACAATAAGTGGTGCTCTGAAGCGTGCCCATGTGTCTCCCTTGTGTTAAAAGCCATTTGCAGGTTGTGTTCGGCGCAGTAGTGGGGCCTAGCTAGTCTTGGTTTGTGCTTTCTTTGGTGTGACTGTGTGGAGCCTCAACTTTGTCGGCCATTGCTGTGAAACTGAACTGGTGACAGCTAGCTAAAGCTGCCTGCCGTGCTGTGCAATGTAATGTCATTTAATGCAGTTTGGGGTTTTTTCTCTCGATGTGAAAATGCTGCTGTGGGTTGAGTGAAGACTGTAAACACGTAGAGGAGATATTCTTTGCAAAGTCATCACATTAGGCTATAAGCACGTCCTATAGCCCAGCCTTTCATCTTACACCACTTTTTTTTATTTATTTAACAGGAATTTGAAATACACTGGGGGATATAGTAGCCTACGTTTAGGAAATGTGGGTGTGTGTAAGTTCATCGTTACGTTTTGGAAACTTTTGAAACAACTAGTTTGGAATTTAAAGCCCAATAATTGCGTATACATTATTTCCATTCATGCAGGCTACATTTAATTAGTTTACTCTGTGTGTGTGTGTGTGTGTGTGTGTATTCGGATCACGTTCGTCTCTGGCTGTAAATCATTAGAAATGATACAATTCGTCCTTAAGGATTCACATTAAATGCAGTCTGATAATTATTTTCCTTATTTTTGGGGTGTTTGTAAAATATCTCCAGCTGAAATGTAAATGTTAAAGTTTATGTGATTTAACGGAGTCCTAATTGTTTGAAAATGCTGAATAAATTGAGCATAAATGCTCTGGTTAATCTCTTTCATTTCTTGTAAAAACTCAGCTGTGTATTTTGAGTTTTTATGGATAATAATTGTAATTTTTAAAAATGTATTATTTTGAGCTGCTTTGTTTTTGCAGTCAGCTGTGAAATTAAAATGGGACAGCGGTCCAAGTGTTTTGGTCGGTCAAAAAAAAAAAAAAAATCTATTTGTTTTATCGTGATTAAGCATTTTAATAGAAAGAAATGAACCTGTAGCTTCGACTTTAGTCTGACTTCGAATTTCCTTAGTCCAAAGGATAAACTGGGGTCCATTGTGGATCAGCTGCTCTGTGCTGGGGGCCAGACTTGACCTGCTTTTAACATTTTTATGGAATCCGCCTATAGATCATCATTGATGTCTGTAACCTTTGGCACAGATACGATCTGAGCACAGTTCGTCCATGTTCCGCCATTTGGCCACACGTGTGTGCCTGTGTGTGTTTCCCATGATCAAAAAGACCAGTGAGCGGAGATATCGTCCTATCGGCTCATTGTTGGCTGTAAATGCATTAAACATGTATTGCAATCGGTGATTTTGTGTCAGTGTGGCCAAATATTAGAATTGGAGGTGTTTTGGGGCGCCCGCCTTGCGCCAGCAGAGAAAGCGGTAAAGAAATGTTTCAACATGGCTGTGGCGCAAAAGAAACCCCAGCAGTGTGCTCTTTGTGCAGGTGAATAGCGTTTAAACATCTCAGTTATTGTGAAACTGCAGAAACGGGTCAGTCGCCATGCTTAGAGAACCAACATGGCAGCAGGCTGTAATTTCTTCTAATCTCCCAGCGGGTCGGTACGTTATATTGTGATTGCGCTGCGTTAGTGCTGAGTGTCCCACACCGTCACTGTGATAACCTTGAAGAGCCACAATGATAAAGATGATTTGTGAGGAGAAAAGGGGGCCACCGTGGGCCGAGCTGGGCTGAGCTGGGGCCTTCCGTGGCTCCACAACACGTGGTGCGTCCACGCAGAGAGGAGTCACTCCACGTCAGGCAGTGAGGGCAAAATGGCGAAGCTCTGAGTGAAGCAGGATAACTGTACAGGCTGCTGTTTTTTCTCCCCCCACTGTGTGTAGTTCCGGGTCTCTTCAGCGCCCGGCTCGCCCTGTAGTAGCACAGTTCATTTGTTGGTGTGTATGTGTGTATGTATGGGGTAGTGTGTTTAAGTATTTTAAAAAAACAAATCCAGGCAGGAGTGGAGTCATATCAAGGAAACCAATTTTTTTTTAAAAGCCTCATCTTAAAATGGCCGTTCATATACCCAGCCAGCGCGAGCCCAATTATCCAAATTCTGTCTCAAGTTATTGTGCTTAAATATTGATGTCAAACATCTGCGGGGCTACAGTCTCTACATGCGCCTGTGTGATGTTGGACTTATCTCAAATGTGCTAAATTATTGTGTAAATGTTTAAAATGCCCCAGCTGCAAAACTACAGTAATGGCGTATTTATTAATGAGCGTTAATTTGAGCAAACGACCGGTTTTAGTTTTTGACGACGTGTGCCTTTAGATCAAATGAGCTCAACGAGTAACAGTAACATGGCGTCCTGTAAACCCGTAACAGGCTGCTCCTCTTCCATATCTGCTCAATCTTCTGCCCTCAGTCTGACTGTAGCCTCGTCAAATTGTCAACATGTCGAAGTTAGCAGGTGTGTTGTTGCTCTCTGTGTGTGTGTCCATAAAGCCAGTGCAGTCCTGGTGTTTGTTATCATTTATGTTATATCACTGCTTGAACGCCATAAACTTCCTCTGGTGCAGTTTTTCTGACATGGAACGTCATGGAGGTGTGTGTGTGTGGTGGGGTGTGGTTGGGTTGGGAGGTGGTCCCGGCGCGGCACTATTCAGAGGGAACAAACCTTTATTTTGAGTGGGGGGAAGGGGGCACTGTAAGGAGGTTCTAAGTTCTAAGGTTTCAAATTCCTTCTTTCTGTCCTCGTAGAGTGTTGTGCTGAAACCTTATAGGCTGCAGGGGGCCGCCCATGGGTCCCTGACCCCTGACCAATATTGCCACATGTGAGCCACGCATGTGTCTGTGTGTATTCAAAAAATGAGCCCAGCTGAGAATGGAGGTGGAAGGCATTCTAAACTTTGGAGAACGGTCGTAATATTCACCGTGAAGCTGATTGAAATGTGTGTCAGGCTGAGGTTCAGCGGGAGTGGTAGGAGAGCAGGGGGGAAGAGTCGGGAGGGGTGGGGGGCTGAATTGTGTGTGTGTGTGTGTGTGTGTGGTGTGTGTGTTGTGTGTTGTTGTGTGTGTGGGGTGGGCGGGGGGCTTTTCATAGGGAACAGGCCATCCTCTCTGGAGAGAAAAATGTATAGAATGCCTGTAGTGAGCGAGTGTGGAGAGTAACACCGACTAAAAATCCTTGAAACCCTCTTCTTCTTCGTAAAGTAGATGACAGGAGGGATAGACGAACAAAGCTGAAGAGTGTGCAATTTCTAACTGAATACATTTTAAAAAAAATCTTATGCTGTCTATAAAAACACCTCCTATTTGAATTTAAGTGTTAGAGTCAGTGTGCCAAAATAACTGCATGCTTTTATTCTAAATGCAACACAACAAACACTTACAGAAAATGTTTAATAATTAAAATAATTGGATTAACAAAACGAGATTTACTCCCATCTTTAATTTGTGGAGTTTTCATTAGTCTGTTTGCTTTTTAACAGTTGTGTTAGTGTACTCATGGTATGTGTGTATACTGCTGAGGGAGGGTGCATTGTGAGCTTGAATTTATAAAAGTGTTTAGGAGTTGATTATGGAAAGGTTTGACCTGTGATATGAAATACAGTTATTATCTTCAGCTGGCAGCCTGCTCTAAAAACCAAAGTTGGCATATATTGTAGTAAATGTGGCAGAAAAATTGGGCTTGGGCGTCCACAATATGTGCAGTATAATTTAAGAATATCATTGCTGTCCATGTTTCCAGTTGACCTGTTGTTGATATTATTCCCACACTGGGTAGATGGACTGATGATGATAAGATAAATAAAATGCAAGGATCTACCACTCTGTGACTTTGCTTTCATTAACAATGCCTTGGAGCTGGTAATCTTATTTCCTGCATAAGTACAGGTACTTATGCAGGTAAATAGGTAAGGAATGGTGTCATCTGGCGTGATTTATAATGGCTGTACCTACAGTGTATACACACACTCACAGTAAAAACAATAGCAGAAGGTCAGTAGCTGGGCTGAGCAGCTTTCAGGCAGCCTAGATCAGTCGTGATGTTCTGTTCTGTCCTCCTCAACACGTCAAAACATATAATTCACTTCATTTCATGACTTTTCCCAACTATTATATTATATTATATATATGATGGCTGTCGCCCCCAAATTCCAAATAAATCTATTTGTTTTCTGTTGGAGTTGTAGGTGTAGGATAACATCTTGTATATTTTTTACCAATGAAAATGATATTTCATGCATAGCCCATGTAATATATAAAACATGAACTATTTCCTGGTACTGGTAATTAAGTTTTTTTGCATATACATGTTGATGACATTATATTCATGTTTTGAACACAGAATAGAGACGTAATACATATTTTTTGGTGGCTCTATTATAGATGGGAGAATATTTATAATAGAAAAGAAAAAAATATTATTTAGAAAAGAATATACTGCTATAAAGAGTAATCTCTCTGTGTTTGCTTTACAAAATAAAGACTGTCTCCCATTCTCCAGTTTTTGCTGTAAAAACGGTACCAGGCTCATTTTGCAAATCACCATCCCTCGCCCTGATTTATTAGCTATAACTTTTAGTGCAGCCGGAGCTCATCTTGTCTGTTTGGATTTCATTGTTTGGATTATTTGCTGCATCAATTCCTCAACTCCACCTTCAGACACTCTATAGTGGCCATGAATGTGCTGGCATTTGGAGCCAAACAGGAGCTGATTCTCTTCATTCAAAAAAATGAGGAAAAACAATGTAATGTAGCGTTTTTTGCTTTAGAGCTTGATAAGAAATAAACAGAGAATTGTGCATTGAGAGAGGGGGAAAAAATCAGTCTTGAATTTAATATTTTCTCATCAGAAAACTGAAGAAACTGCGTTGG